TTCTCCCGGACCCCGAACTGATGTTATTTTAATTTACTTGTATTAATGACCCATTTCTAATTTTCTCCGTTCATTGCGCCCCACCTGTCACGTCTTTATTCCCCACTAGTGGGGCGCGCCCCACACTTTGAGAACCATGGAGTTAGTGTGAGTTTTCTTGTAGGGACATAAAATAATGTTTTCTTGATTGACTGCTGAACACATCCATTAGCTCATGTAAAGCTGTGCTTCCAGAGAACATTTCTTCTACTCTCCTCAGAAATTCATATTTTGGCCTTGGCTTATTAGAAACAGTTTTGTTTTGCTTTGGTTCCTGTCTCACTTGTTTTGCCAGGCATGGGTGGATGGGAATTTGAGCATGTTGCCACCAGGTGTTTTGCGTTTGGATGCACAGTATATTCAGTGACATGGGTGCTAAAATGAAAAGTGCAAGGGTGCAGTAAAGCCACTGACAGCACACGGCACTTAGCGGCTCCACATAGAAGCCAGTTGACCTGGGTGGCTCTAAGCTGTAATTACATGTAGCTGTGGCAACACAAGGCAGAATTAGGTACAAAAAGGGCGTCACTCCTTTGTCTTTTGCCCTATCACTTGGTTTTAATTGCACTGGTGCTGATTTTGCAGTGACAGAAAAGTCTTTGTATTTTACTACACATTATTAGTGTGTGATGGTTTATTTGCACACGCTATGTTTATAAGAAGCTGCTGTTCTCATCCTGCTAAGCACTGGTTTGTCAGGAGGCTATTAATTTAGCAGATGCAGCAGTGTTTGCAGAGATATGAAATCAGTTTCACTTTGAGTTTAATAACTGATGTCAAGGGCACTTTCAAAATTTTAGTGTAAATGCCAAAAACCTATCAAAGAAATGAATAGTAGCAGAAATGCTCTAGTAGCTGTGTATCTAGTACAAGGGCCAGGTAAGACCAAAGGGTGTTGTGGATTTGCTTTCACTATTTTATCAGTGACTAAAACTTGCACCGTGTTTTATTGGGGGATGTCGATCAACAATAAGATGATGGCAGAAACTGAGAGACAAGGTCAGAGTTTAATAACCTCAAGAGTTGTGTAGATAAATATTATTATACAGTGAGACATTACAGTGATGGATATGTTGCCAGAGTTTGATTAAAATTAATGAAAAATAGAAATAATGGTATTGTGTAAATGTAGAGGACATTCATGTGAAATTTAAACATTGACACAAAGGCACAAACCTGCACACTTAATTGGAGCATGTAGACTTTGCAAATGAGGCAAATCATCACCTTTTCTAACACTGACTGCAGGGGGTCAGGACTAATTATGGGAGACAAGGAATATTTTCATGGATCATTTTTCTATGTGACCAAAGATAACAGTATTTCCACTGATGTCAAGACATTAAATTAGCTGAGCAAACAGGGTGACAAGGTGGCACAGAGTCTGAGACTGGAAAGTCACAGTAAAAGTCAAAAACAGTCTTCACAACTTGAGTCCCTCATAATGAAAATGGAAAACAAATAAAAGCCCTCGTAGGCAAAAAAAAAATCTCTTTAATAAAAGTTCACGGAGCTAAAACCTCTCATGATAAAAAGTTGAGCTCAATTAAAAGTTCTCCCATCTAAACGTTCTCACGACCAAAGATTTTTGGGGATCCTCACAGTTTAGTGTCTTCACAACTAGAAGTCTATTCCCAGCAAAAGCTTCTTACAGCCAAAAGCAATGCAGAGCCCATTTAAAGTCTTTCTGCAAAAAAGCACAACCTACTATGTAAATGTGCTTAAGTGCAGATATTGCAGTGAGAAAAATGAAAAATAGCTTCAGCACTCAGCAGCTTGTTTATAACGCAGAGCCTGATGGAAGCTTTTTATCATGACATACTCAGAGATACAGCATAAAGGCTGCTGAGACATTAAGGACACAGACATATGAGTTTTATTATTACTTTCATGTGTCAGACTTTGCCATTAATGCACTTTAAGGTGTTTCTTTTGAATAACAGTGCTGAAAATAAAGTTTTAGTGGGAAAATGTGCACACCCAAGATGACACATTAGAAAAAGAAGCAGAATGGTTTTATGCTAATGGTCTCCTAAACTGTACCGTCATTACTAAAAGTTTAATTTACAGCAGTTAGTCATCACCCTACCTACTTATCAGCGCTAGGCTTTTACTTGACAAATAAAGACTAGAAAATGTACAGCTTTATCCAGGTTGGCTAGGACAACTGGTGAGAGGTGTTTACTCATGAGCTCTTTGATTTTTCTCCTGATGAACATGGTGTTTCGGCGTTTTGGGGGCAAATGTGGTTCAGTGGTTAGAGCAGTCGTCTCCAAACTGGAGGGTCGGAGGTTCAAACCTCTGTGCCTGCAGTCCACATGTCGAAGTGTCCTTGGGCAAGACTCTGAACCACCCCAAGTTGCCCCTGATGGTTAGAGCCATCGGTTGGATTGGTGCAACGAAAACAAATTCCTTGTGTGTAACATACTTGGCCAAATAAAGGTGGTTATTATTATTATTATCCTTTTTATTGTCACTACTGCCATGCTACTTAATATGTTAAGAGTCTCCCCTTTGCACCATTTTTATGTTTTAACAAGAAACTCAAATTTAAAAGTAAATGTGTGAAATATAAGAAGCGAATAAGAGACTTTTAAAAAATGTATTTCAAATTGCTAAGTCTTATTGTTGGTCATAGTGTTTCCTCCTCTTAAACATGACAAAATCTCAGATCTGTGCCTCTCACAGATACGACTACTGTATATTGTCAGGAAAATGAAACTGGTAGATTGATGAGTTTATGTTGGAAAACTGACATTTCTGACTCTACTCAGTATGGAGCTGGTTAGGAGTATTACTCCCATCGAGCATTTGACAGATGGGTATGTGGGAGCAATAAACCTAAATGAACGTGTGCACCACAATAATATATTATGGTAATGTAGTTTCTGATATAATGAAACCACTCAGCTATGTACGACGAGGGACTTTAGACATCAGACTGTCTATGGGGATCCCTTCCTTCGGTCTCTCGTTCCCCTCACTGTTCTGCTTTTAAAAAGCTGATCGACATGCTGGCCGAGGGCGGACGAGCTCTGACACTGATTCATGAGGCCCTGGTGTGAGTGACTGGGCTCCACAGGCCCACCCACGTTTCAACTGGAAACCAGCATTCATTATGTGAATTGCTGGGTTGTCGATTTGGGGCCAGATTAATTGTCTGTAATCTGATTACACTGCGGCTTGTCGCAGCCCTGACAACCCCCCACTGGCCTCCCCCTTGGTGCTGTCTACCGACTACCTACTGGAACCTGCTGGGTCAGAGCAGGCAGAAAACACTGAAGGAGCAGTTTGATCACTGGAGATAAATTACTGACAATACAGATCACAGTTCGCCTACACATTCTCTCTCTCTCTGTCTAAACATACTGCATATGTATGTCTAGATGTATTGATACATACACTGTCTCTTAATGGAGTCATGGCCTAGATTCCCTTCTCTGAAATCTCAGTCTGTCCTCTGATTCCTTTCATATAGTTAACATGTTCAAACTGCAGGCACTGTGCTCAAAATGTGCAACATGTCTGTGTCATCTGTAATTGTGAACCAAAAGTACTTGCAAAGAGATGGAAGAATTTTGTCTAGCACATACTTTATTCCAATATATGGAATCCAAATATGGAATTCTGCCTCTTTGCAAGTTCTTTCTCTCTTTTCTTTGATGTTTTGTTTCTCTAATTGACTAAGGTAAATTATTTGTGCTTCAAACACTGACAAAAATAAGTGTACTTCACTGATTTGAGTCTCTGGGAGCTCACGTATATGTTATTTCTTTGCATTAAGTCCCAGTTTTTTTCTTTCTTTTTTTAATCTTCTTACATCTTTCCTTTCTGTGTCCAGTAGGTTAATGCACCCTGGGATCAGATGCGGGGTTAGAAGCCAAAGTTAAAGGGATTATTCTTGGCTATTGAACACAGGAGGTCCTCGGAGCCAAGAGCCATCACCTGGCTGGCATTGGCCCAACCCCTTTTCCTAGACACAGTGCCAGATCCTATCAGGTCGCCTCAGCCGAGCCCTCCAAGCTTATTAACTTGCAATGCAGCCAAGTCCCTTTCATGACATCGCAGGATGGTTTTGAAGGCAAACAGCTAAAGAGTTTGGCAGCACACTTTGGGTGCTTTTTGGAATACTGCTTTGAAGTTTGTGACTCTTTCCTTTCTAAAAGGAATTTATGCTGTGTGGGAGGAGGTTTTATCTGCATCTGATCTGCATCTTTTAGTGCTGATGTGCTTTCCCAAAACATTTTCCAGTTCAACACCAGTGAACCATTCCATTCATGGTGTTCATCACTGTAAAGCTAAGGCCTGGAAGGACTGTCATCTTTGAAGGAATAACTTGGACTCCAACCAACTATGGCCAGAGACATCATTCCTTTGAGCTTCATGCCTTTGTCTGTGAGGCTCCAACGATGGGTTAGAGCCTCTCTGGGCTTCTTCCCCCTACATTCTCTAATGCTCTTCTGCTTCCTGACAGGCACAGCAGCCACAAACACTGTTACTGGTATAGAGTATGACTATGGCATTAGCCCCAAATTTGTTTGCATCCCAATTCCCCCAGACGCAGACCCCAGCTGCTATTCCCCACCCAATGTGGCCCACAGACCCAGCAGCAATGGCAACAGCCACAATGGCAGCAACCGGCGAGGCGTGATGTCCGACGAGGCCAAAGCCACCATTCTGCACCTGCGCGAGAGCCTTGTGAGGCAGAAGGAGACCATCCTAGACCAACGGGAGACCATCAGGGAGCTGACCACCAAGCTCACCTTGTGCAAGGGCTTTGGTGGTCACCATAGCATCAGTCACCATGACAACCGCCACAATGCACATGATACCCATCACAAGAACCATCATGACACCCACCATGATGACCACCATGGGCATCATGGCAGCCACCATGCATCATCGTCCTTACACCACGGGCCTTCAGTGTATCGTACCAGAGATCACCACTACTCCCACAGCAACCACAGGTCGGACCCCCACCACAGGAAGACCTCATCATATAGCAAACACAGCTCCATCTCTCCAGAACAGACAGGAAAAACCCTGCAGACGCTGAAGGAGCGGATGGAGAGTTTACAGGTGAGTGGGGGTTAACCAGTATAGCAGTTCAACACTGTCGTGTCAAAGGCAAACGAGAGAAAGTGGAATAACTGGGTACATGCACTATTTTAGCATGAAAATATGGAGATGTAGAAAGCTACTCTGTAATGAACTGTAGGTATTGCAAATATGATGTCTTGATTAAGCCTCATTATACTAGTTATATATACAATATAGTGCCCGTGGTACATTTATGTTATGAAGCGGGCCCTGGGTAGGCTCTCTGGCAGTAAAAGTCAAATTTCAGGTGTTTTTGATGGGCAAGAGTGTGTCGTCCTATTTTTGTAACTTTCTGAAACTGTGTTTAGTCAGGTGTGCAAAACTGTGAAAGCAGGCTGAATGGCAGTCAGCATTCAGGAGAGATTAGAGGAATACCAACCCAATTGTTGAGAAATGACAGAAACGATATGTAATGATTGATCAATCCCAAGTAGAGTAGGTACTTTATTGATCCCACAGTGGGGAAATTTCTACCTACCTACATGTTGACGTTCAGTACAAACCACAGCTGGGACCAGCTGAAGCTTTATGTGGTCATTTGTCTTGTATCAAAGTTTATAAGCAGCTTCTTACCACAAGATTGATAGTAGCAGTTTTCAACGTGATAGACGATGCTTGTACAACCTCTTTCTTTTCTGATATTCATTCATGATGGATGTTTGAATGGTTGACCAGCTATACTGAGGTCCTGCCTTATAGGCTCAGCCAATGATGGGTAAACTAAGTGAAATGAAATTAGCTCTGTTTTGTTTTCCAGCTCCAGGCTATGTAGGAGCTTGGCTAAAATAATGAGCACTTTGTACAACACTTGTCTGACAAATTAATTAAGAAGCTATGGAAATGACAACACTTGTGTTGTCTCATTGGCAGCACTGAGGCACAGAAAGAGTTCAAGCAGGCAGAAATCTCTGATGTAACCTTAACCAGTCTAAACGAATGAAAGAGAACAGGCAGTTAATTCATCAGTTTTCTAATAATTAGGTTCTTGTTTTCAGCATCACTCATCCAAATTGTCTCCTACAGAAGCAGTATCATTAGTTACATCTGCTCTGATGCCTCTAAGATGTCTCCTTCATAGTATGTAGGTTTGTGGAGCTAGCAAGCCAAAACACAGCATTCTCCTCCTAAAAAACTGAAACATATTCATGTGGTTGCACTGTAAATTAAAGGGTAACATTATTTTCTCAGATCCTTGGTAATAAGACTGCAAAGAACGGCTGAACAGCCTGTAGGTGGAAGCCTATCAAAGGTTTGACTTAATTGGGGTCATTAATTGCGTCACTGAGGGTCACGAGCTTAGCCGCAGAATCAGCTGATGTATCTGCTGCCAAAAAGGATGATTCGAAAGGACGCCGTACTTACTGTATGCTCACTGCCCTAAGTGCCAGTTTTATTAATGTATATGTTAAGTATCATCTCATTGTAGAAACATTATTTATGAATAAAATATGTTACTTTTATGGCGTTTCTGAAGCTTTGAAATAAATTAAGAAGAACTCTCACTTCCCTTTCACCGTCATCATCAGACACATGCCTCCCACAAAGGCTAATATCACAACAGTTTGTTTGTTGTCTCGGAGCCATTGGAAGCTAATAGTGCATCTGAACTTTCCGGTTCTCAGTCTCTCTCCGGGACATTAGTGGCCAAGCCGGAGCTCACGCAGCATGCTGCTCTAAGTTGATTAGCCTTCACCCGAAAGTTTAACAAATACTTTGTCCAACCACCGCATGATAGAGGGACATGAATGAAGCTCAGTGCTTGAACCCAGGGAAACCAGGACAAGGAGGTTTGAAGATCAAAAGAAACTCAGAACTGTGATTTAAAACTGGGCTGAATTAATGTGAGAAGTTAGTTTTTAGAGCGCTAGATGGCGTTGGTACTGAAAAGACTATGTCCCTACATGTGTTTCAAAGGAATGCAGGTCCAACCTACACATTGAAATCCAGCTGAAATTGTTATATATAGACATTGCCATGTTTTTGTTTTTTATTTATTTATAATATGATGAATGTTATTAAATTATATACAATGATGTGATATTCAATGAAGTATCATCAAAATGTTGCTAATAATGAAATGAATGATGAATAAAATTACATAGAAAATTGTCCAGTCAAGTGAAACTGCTGGACATTGTCAGCATTAAATGTTAAAAGCAGTCTTTCTTAAACAGGTCTTTAAAGCAAGTGTTAAAGTTTCATTTGAGCTCATTGTCATGAGATTGTTTGAAGCACCATTGGCAAATGCTGCACCCCCATAGTCACTAACCTAACACCTGATACTGCAGGAACAGCAGCAGATAGATAATATTTTGGCCCCTAAGCTTCGCTGAAATTTATTAGAAAAGCTATTTGAGAAGTAAAGTATCTTCCTTTTTGCTGTAACCTCTGATGATCATTTGTAATTGTATCGACTTTGTTTTAAAGAGTCACAAGCCAGAAAGTTTGGGAACCTCTGATCAAACATGTAAGAACCTATAGACTCGAATCACTGCGGCTCTTCTCTCCGGAAGATTTGGCCTTTTGTAATTTGTTGCCATTGCACAGTATGTGATAGTATGTGTCATTTTCTAAACTGTCTGTCACCTAAAGAGCCAATACATGTTGTTCCGCTGTCTCACTTGTGTTAAAACATCTTCGTGATGGTGGCATCACAGTGCGAGACTGAAGCCCTGCCACCTGCTGGCCTGTGAAAGCCTCATCAGTGCAGGTGGGCTCAGGCTACACTCCGGGAGACTGTTGACAAAAAATCCCCTTTGGTCTGCCTCGTAGGTGAGAGACAAAACAGGACTGGAGCCAGGATTCAGCCTCCGTCACTCTCTTCGCTAACCGGATGATCTGGCCACATGCCACAGGGCGAGAGCCAGCCTTGCCTTCAGTTAGCTTCATCCTCCCTGACAAGGCTCTTAATCGTGGCGTGTGCTGGCAGGGAACAAAGCCGGATTTGCTGATGAGGAGGATGAGGAAGGAGGAGGGCTTAAGGAGAAGGCCAGAAACTATTCTTCTGCATCTTTAAATATCCTGCAGTTTACTGCAAATACCTGCTGGATGAAGACATTTTAGTGTAGTCCAGATGTAGTTCAGTTCAAAGCTTTCAGCATGATCACATGGTCTTCATCCAGTTATGGTGACAGTGCTGCTGACATGTGAACATGTTGTATATGCTGAACTGCAATCAAATCCACTGTATTTTTAACATACTTGGCAATAAAGATTATTATTTATTTCATCTGTAGCACTTTTAGCACTTTTCAACTGTGCTGTTTTACAAACTGAAGCATTAGTATGACTGTTATGCTTCATGACGTCAGCGCCAACTTCATCTGCTGATGAAGACTGATGTGGTTGAAACTCACAACCGCTAGTAAGTTGATTGTTTTGTGAAACGGACAGAGCTGGCGTCAGAACCCAGGAACCTTTGTGTGTGGCCTGTCTGAGTAGTTTTGTTTAAAATAGTCACTTTTATTTTGGTAATGATTTGCTTTTGTAAAGTCAAAGTGTTTATTTGTCATATACACACTTAAGAAACGTGTTTCCCTGTACAATGAAATTCTCTACTTTGCCGTCCACATGAATGCCACAAAATACAAATGAATATAAAGTAGATAAACAAGTAACACAAAATCTAAGGCACTTTAGGCAGCAAATGCAGAGATATAATAAAAATATATAAGAATATAAGAGAATGTGTGCTGCATGGGAGCAGCATGTGCAGTGGTAAACAGTCAATGTGCAATTATGCATGTGCAAACTGAGAATGTAAACAGTACAAGTCGACAGTACATGACGTATTTCCTGGTAGTAAACTCCTCAGCTGTTTAGGAGTCTGATCACAGAGGGAAAGAAAGAGTTTTTCAGTCTAGAAGTCCTGGATTTCACACTTCTGAACCTCCGGCCAGAGGGTAGGGAGGCGAACAGTCCGTGCTGGGGGTGTGTTGGATCTTTGAGGATAGAGGCAGCTTTCCTACACACTCAGCGGTGGTAAATGCTCTGCAGAGAGGGCAGTGGACTCCTGGTGATCTTCTCCAGTCTTTACCACTCTATGCAGGCACTTGCGGTCGATAGCAGTAATGCTGCCATATCAGACAGTGATGCAGCTGGTCAAGATGCTCTCAATGATGCAGCTGTAGAAGTTGTAAAGGATCCTAGGTGACATGCCAAACCTCCTCAGCCTTCTCCTTTTGGTACTTTTTTAAAGTACTTTAATTAAATTTACTTATTTACTTGTACTACTGACAATCCTCATAAACACCTGTGGGAAATAAGCACTGGACTGTGGATGACGGTGATGGTGCTGAGATCAATCTATTACATGAAATAAACAGCAGTCCTGCGTTATTTAAGTAGAGTAAGGGAAATAAGTGGTGCCATATATTGTAAATATATTGTAAATAGGCTGTTTTTAATACACAGAACAAATGTTCAATAAACATCAATGATGAAAAACATAAGTCAAGTGTGAGTCTGTTCATAATCCAGCCAGTGAATGTGTCGATCCATTTAATGTCATTATTTGATGACAATGTTTTCCTAACAGGTGCTTAGTGAACTGCAGGTGCTTTCTGTGTGTGTCTGCAGGCCAGGAACTCCTCCAGCTTCTACTCCAGCTCTCTAAGAGAGCTCCTGCAGCGCAAGATCAGTGTTTTGGAGGAGCAGCTGCACAGCTACTACCAAGGTCACCATGACAACGGTCACCATGATGATCACCACAACAGTAGCCCCTACAGTGATCACCTTGATGGCCATCATAGCAATGGCCACCATGGTACAGGTCACCATGACAACCACCACGACAGCCACCAGTACAGCCATCACAGCAATCATCATGCTCGCGATTATGACCACCGCTACAACTGGCACTGTGGCCAGCATCACAGTCGCTACGGCAACCACCATGATCATTATGACTATCACGATCACCGCCGTGACGACCATGATGATTGCTATGACAACCACCATGGCAATGATCATCATGACAACCAGCACAACAACGACCATCACCTGCGCCAACTGCCTCTCAGTGGCAAAGAGATGAGTCTGCAGGGCGCCGGGCACAGCAAGCTGGAAACAGTGCTCAGCCAGTTGCACCATGGTGTATATACACACACACACACACACACACACCTACGCTCCCCCTTGTCACCACTGGATTTACATTTGAGATGTGAGGTGATGATTACATTCAGTTTACAGAAAAAGAAGACCTGACTGATTAGGACTGTTTTAAAGACTCATCTGTACTAAAAACATGACAAATGATCTGTTCTACATAAGATATATATGTATGAATAATAGCATTATTAGCAATATTTAATAGGTAATAGATATTCCTCTAAAAACAATGGCAACTTTCTTTTTCAATAATGGACATAATTTCCCTGTGTTTGTAGCTCCATCTTATCAAAACTACATTTTCTTACAAAGCTCATAATGTGCTTTTTCTTTTCAAAAAGAAAAATTGACCTATTTCTGTGACTTGACTGTAATCATAACTGCAAAACTCAAAGATGAAAAAAACAGCACAAATGGACTCACTCACTCTAAACACAATGTGACCTGAGACTTGACTTGAGAGGGATTTTCACTGCAGAAATTCACATTAAATCCTATAATAATGTTATCCAGAAGTAGAAAATGTTGTATCCTCAAACCGCTACTATGAAGCTTGATGTTATAGAAAAGCTAAATTAAGAGCAGATAAAAGATGCCTGTTACCTCAAACCAGCTGCTGGTAAAAAGACAAATCACTTGAATCTAAACTCTGCACTCTCATCACACCAGGAAGCCACAAGGAGCTAGAGAGTCCCATCACTTTCCTGCTTGACTTCCCAATGAGGACCAACTACATGTACGCCAGGGTGAAGCCGTCGGTGGTCAGTGAGCTCTTCACCTTCACCATCTGTCTGTGGCTGAAGGCAAGGGCGGGTCCCGGCTTCGGCACTCCTTTTTCCTACGCCGTCCCAGGGCAGGCCAATGAGCTGGTGCTCATCCAATGGGGCAGCAACCCTGTGGAGCTGCTAATCAATGACAAGGTAAAAACAAACAGACTGAACAAATGATATTAAGGTGACACACAGCATTGTAGAGCAGTGGTTAGTGCTGTTGCCTCACATCAAAAAGGTTCTGGGTTCAAGCCCCGGCCAAGCTGGCGCCTTTTTGGTTTGGAGTCTGCATGTTCTCCCTGTGCCTGTGTGCGTTCTCTCCGGGTGCTCTGGCTTCCTCCCACAGTCCAAAGACATGCAGCTTAGGTTGAATTGTAACTCTAAATTGCCCCTAGGAGTGAGTGTGATTGTTTGTCTACATGTCAGCCCTGTGACAGACTGGTGACCTGTTCAGGGTGGACCTTGCCTCTCGCCGAGTGTCCGCTGGGATTGGCTCCAGCTCCCTCGTGACCCTCATTAGGATAAAGAGTATAGTTAATAGATGGACATCTCAGTTTGATCAATACTCTTAATGAGACATTAAACTTGATTGTTGACCTACGTATTATTCAGTTATGTTTGCACCCCCCCCTTCCTTGCCCCAGTACTGTGTGTGCACTGAGCTCAGCAAACAAATCAACAAAGCAATTAATCTGATTATCGTAATTGGCGGGGCTAATTGGCTGTAAGAGCAACGTTACCAAGAGGGATAAACTGTCGTGTTTGTTTTCTGTCAATCATCAAACTGATCAATGACGTAGCTGAATGATCGTCAGCGTGCACTCTTTAATTATTCTTCTGGAGTTTATGCAGATAAACACGGTGGAGATTGTCCTACTGGACGAATCCTCTGTCCCTACAGCAAAACAAAGAAATGCCTGTCTCTGTCGATGCTCATGTAAATGTTCGATTTCGGAGCTCAGATCTGCACTTTTGTTGTCACTCCTCCAACATAAAGTGTTAAGTTGTGAGGTCAGCCTGCCACCTTATCACAGGCTGAGCCTTACTCGATTCATCCCAGGCTTTGTTACAAAAGACCATTTAAGTACCTGTTACATAAGCTGCATTTTAAAAGTTGCAGGTGAAAGATGTGAACCACTTTTAAAACACTGAACTAAGTGAAAGTTTTGCACACATTTCCTTTACTGTTAGGAGTAAATCCTTTGAATGAAATATTTATATTCAGATAAAATGAAATGGGTGCAAAATGAGTCACTAACTCATTAGCACTGGTGTGAACTGACCCTCCATATGATAAGTGTCAGTGTTTGAAGGACAACTGGCAAAGAGGAAGAATATACAGATATGAGCTACTTGGTACGAAAAGGCATGTAGATACTGTACAAGCCAGAAACGTTGGAACCACACTGATGATTAACTGTCCCAGGTGCCAGTGAATGGCGGTCTGTTCTTTGTCTTCTTACGTCTGTCTCTGTCCGCCTGTGTGTTTAGGCGGTGACGCTACCCATAACTATGACTGATGGGAAGTGGCATCACGTGTGTGTGACGTGGTCGACACACGACGGAATCTGGGAGGCCTACCAAGACGGAGTGGAGAAGGGCTCGGGACAAAACCTGTCGGCCTGGCACCACATCCGACCCGGAGGGACCCTGATCCTGGGCCAGGAGCAGGCATGTGCCTTGTGTCAGCTAAAGGTCTCGTATGAACAAATGCACAAATGCTGTAAGAGGGGAGAGATGATGAGCGAAACAGTGAAGTTGTGTGTTTGACATTTGAAAGAAATTCCTCTTTGGACTACACATCTGTAGTTCCTACCTCAAATTTTGATATAGAACAGGCCCGTTCACCTTTAGACCCACACAGGTTTGTTCTAATTCATGACTAATGATGGAACATTTTTACTTGAACAATTAGTTAACCTGAACTTTTACCTCTTGTCTTTTTCACCCTGCCCTCTGGTTTTCTTGTAAATATACAAAGTTTAGAGTTGGTGTGTCTCACCAAAACACACTGTGTATAACACTGAGGTCTAACAAACTAAAATCTCACCGTCCAGACTCACAGACTTTGAGACTTATGATCCCGGATCATGTTCAAATCAGGCAGTCAGTCCCTGATGTGTCTTGGCTGTGAGGAAACTAAAAAAAACTGGTCATGACACAGACTGTTCATCACTCTCCACAGGACACGATGGGAGGCCACTTTGACGTCACTCAGTCCTTCATGGGGGAGCTGTCTGATGTCCAGTTCTGGTCCAGAGTCCTGGCGCCCAAAGAGATCCACAGCCAGGCGACCTGCAGAGGCCACCTGGTTGGTGATGTCATGTCCTGGTCGGAGGAATCAGTGGAGCTCCACGGCGGGCTCAGGGAGCTCCCTTTTGACCCCTGCCACTAAACTCTGCCAGTGGACCCCCACTGTATGATCATCATAACCGATTACAAGCCCCTGTTGAAAATGGCTGGTGTGAAGAGAAATGTGACATTGTCATGGATCAAGGAATCATCCTGGAATAATTATTTGCAGAACTTTAATAAGACAAGCTCAGCCATGGGCAACAGGCAAAGCAAAGAGTTACTTTGCTTTTTCTATATTTTTGCCATTCCTGTCCGATCTTTCTGCCTTCTCCACCTACACCCTCGCTTGCTCGCTCTTACACTCTCAGCAGAAAGACTTTGAAAGCTTCACAGAGAGCAGAGCTTTGGGTTTGCTGCCTATGTGGTTGTGAGTGCGGCTGCTCTGAGGGCTCCCGTTATACATAATAGGATTTCCTTCCATCAAAATGGGGCCAAAGGTTGCTTGTTACCATTAGCTTGCCTGCACTACAGTAGCTTGTTTCTTGGAATGTGAGCAACAGAAACATTACAGGAGGTGAACGAGTGGCTAACAGGCACAGGAGCGCTAACGGGTCGAGCCACACAAACAAACCAGGCTAGGGTACTGGTTTTGTGGAGACAGAGGGATAGTGCTATAATAATATGGCACAAAGTTAGCACAACCTAATGGCAAGTGATTTATGGCAGACTTGAATATTAGTATTTCATATTGAAAAACCTCTAAATGCTCTTTGTAGAAAGAAAAAATGAAAGGTAACCCATGTTTTATGTGTTCTTCAAACTACACAGTTGCATTTTGTCAGGACCGAGTGGGATATTTTAAATAACAAATGTCTGTGTCTGTCTGTAACTGGATCTGTTTCTCTGCTCATCAGCCATTACATAAGATCCTGTGGCTCACTCTCAAACACACGTCACAGCCACAAGCCGCCCGACATAACTGTCTCCACAGTAAAGCTCGTGTCCTGGGCAGGTGGCTTACAGTGGATTTACCTGTGGACAAGTGATCTGATCCTGCCTATTTCCAACCAGCTCAAACCGCATGGCAAGTACATAAACACACTCTCAAGTGTCAGAGAAGATGAAGCAGTGATAACTATATGTAGCTGTGCTCTAAACGTTTTTCTACATGTAAATTGTGTCTGATAGTCTGTTTTAATTATTAAGGTATTTCTTACACTGTACGTCATGACTTTCTGTACATCCCCTAAACCTGTGGTCATTTGTAAAGTACATGAACTATTTATTTATAATAACCCTTCCCCTCTGAGTTAAACTTCATCCTGCACTGAACGCTCTTCACTGATGGTAGAATGTTGTTGCCATGGTGAAAGAAGATTTCTCGTGACCACATCTCATGACCTGACAGCGTCGTGCTACAGCTGTAAATATCTTAGAAACGTTTCTTCGACGGTAATGCCAAGATGAGCAGCACTTTGAAACCACGCTCCTGCTTCTTCTCATGACAGTGGGTCAAATGCATGTGACCCTCTGTGTTCATACACCTCGGCCCACTGGCAAAGTGATGGTAAGCCAAGGTTTAACATTGAAAATAAAACTAGGACATACAGCTTTATGCATAAAGACTTGCTTGTCCTCACCTTTGCTATGCATTTTAATGCTTAATTGTTTTTTTTTTTTTGTTTTTTTTTGGTTTATTCTTGACTTTTGGCTTCAGTCAACAGCCCCTCACTCCTGCGTAAGACCAAACTATAAACCTGAAAGAGGAAGAACATGGAATAAAACTGTCAAGATTTTGAATAAAACTAATTCAAGATGTTATGAATTTAAACTCAAGTGTTTTTTGACACTTTCCAATCTATGCACATCTTGTATTGTTGTGGTTGGTCAGGTTCCGTTCTGTACAGTGGGAGAACTCAAACCTTACAGAGCTCCCAAACAAACATTTAACTGTGGATTTGTGTTCATCTGAATCTGCATAGTAGCTAAAATAATGAAATAAATGTAGTGGAGTAAAAAGTATATTGTCTCTGAACTGAAGCGGAGAATCTGAATAGAGTAGCATAACATGTAAAGTACAAATAACTCACGACTGTGCATTATTACTTTAACCTCCGCTGGTATTACTGGACATTAAGGATGGGGACTTCAGGGTGACCAGCGTTCAGCTGCTGAATTCTTCAGGCAGACGAGTTTGGTTATCAGACTCAGTTCTGCTTTGCATCCAGCTGCAGAGAGGCCAGGATTTTCATATCCATTTCTACAATTCAACATGAAACACTAACCAGAGAGAGCACATCCTTTGGACTGGAACTGCTTTTGGGAAACACAAGACTTTAGGTATTAAATCCAAACAAAACATGAGGACTTAGTGGAGACACAGAACAACTGTGAATGAGCAAATCCTTCATGCCTGTTGTTGTTCTGCTGGATGAAATGATGGGAGTGAAAAATGAACCGACTCTACTGGAGGAAGGAAGCCATGAAACATCTACAGACAAAAGTAAGATGTTTTTCATATCATAAAAGGTTTAAACATTAAAATGATAAATTATAATTCATGTTTCTTTATTGCCACCATCTAAAACAAAATAAAAGGCTTTAGATGGAGAGTGTGTTAAGTTTTAGCTAGCACGTCCTGTGTTTTACGTGCCCGGCTGTTTTAAAAGTTGGTGTTATCGTGGACCTACTGTTGAGTTTTACTCATGTTGGTTCATTACTATATTGCTTTGAGTGCCCATTAGTTGATGGATAAAAGTGGAAAAAAGTTCCTTGTCATACAGATAGTTCCATCTTGCTGAGGTTTAGAGAATCCTCACGACAGTGGTTTCTTGTGGTGAGAGCAACAGAATGACAATATTCAACTATTCTACCCAGAAACAACATCCCAGTCATTTATCTACAAACCTCGCTGCAGTGAGGTGCCTGAAGTCTCAGCAGCACACTTCTCAAAGCCTCAGCAAAAGGATCTGAAACTATGTGCATGGTGGGATTCCATTAGAGGTAAGTGGGAGAGCCGGTACACCTGCAGAATCTCAATCAAACGCCACAGTTTTGCAATGCATCAAACTTATCAATGTGTTTGTATTTATGTTAAACTCTAATGCAGAAACCTCTGTCTCAAAGATCAGCATTACAGCAGCTGATGTGACGTCTCCATGCTGTATTTGTCTGTGTTGTTGTGTCGTCTCTCAGGTCGACTCAGTCAGCACAGACAGGTGGCTCAGTACTTCTCTCTGCTCTGCTTTCTGCTCACCATCGTCACTCTGCTCCAGACTCTCTGCTGTGAGTTGTACAGTTTATTTTGACTTTAAAACACTGAGCCATCACTGGTTTTTTATGTTTTACTGATGGTTGGAAATCTTTAAATGACTCACAATGTATAGTTTGTTTTTAAAACTTGAGTAATTTCCTAAAACTGTTGTACAGTACATTACTCACTCAGGAGGAAATGGTACTTTTGTTGGGGACTATTTTTAACAGTGAAATAATGCACGCTTGCTGCTTTACTGAGTATTCGTGGCAGCGGGACAGTGTACGTGAGGCTTAGTCTAAATAAACTACAATGTGTGTTCTCTGCCATGTCACCTGGTGCAACCGCGTGGCTCCCTGGTGTGTTTTTAACAGCGGTGTTCTATGGAACCACTAGACTTACCCTTATCCTTGTCCTCCATGACACTTCATTTATTATTTATTATCCATCTGTGATGGGAGCCTTGTTTCTGTCTTTCCGGTCTGTGTGTTTGTTTGTTTGATCCCACAGTGGTTCAGATCACCTTGGTGTTCCAGTCACAGTCGAGCCAACAGGACGCCACGCTCAGAGATCTGACAAGCAGACTGGAGAAACTCAATCAGTCTTATCGCCTCCTGTTCTCCCAGTATCCTGCTCTGAACCAGTACTGCCCAGTCAGCAACTCCAGCACTGGTGGTGAGCCCTGTGTCGGTGTGTGTGTGTGTGTGTGTGTCTATGTGCTTTTGCACTTCAGTCTTATGAGGATCTGTTTTAGTTTTAACATGAGCACAATTTGATATTTGATAATGTTTCTAAATGTTGTTTGAAGCTTAGACCTGGTTTTTCCAGATTCCTCATAAAATCACACTTATGTTGTGGTTAAGCCAACACGTCCCAAATTAAACACAAGGAATGGAAAGTTTAAATTTTCAGGGTCACAAAATTAACAGGACAGGGATTTTTCTTCTAGTTGATGCTTCAGGCCTTTGAAAAAATTATTCCAAACAAAAGAAGGCAGCTGTGGTGCCTGGAAGTAGAGGGGGTCATCCCCTAATCACAGGGTTCAGACCCTGGCTTCTGCAGTGCACATGTCTCCACGGGCAAGACACTGAACCCCAAGTTGCTCCCAGTGGCCATCATTGTTGGTGTGTGAATTATATAAGTGCAAGTCCAAAAGACGTGAACTGACCACAGCTGGTAGACATCGGCTGTTAACTCTTAACAAAGTCCAAAAGACTGAGGCCCAGAGGGCTGGGGACCGTGGTGTGTGTGAGCACAAACCTTATGACAGACATGATCTGGGAACAAACTGTTGATCAGGAGATGACCTGAAAATTTGTTGGACTTTGGTAGTTTGAGAGTTAACTTTCAAGCCATTTGCCGATTAGACACAGAAATATTTGCAAAAACCATTTAACTCGGCGACTCCAATTTACATGTGGTTCACAGGCCACAATCATCTGATGAATGACTGTGTAAACTGGACTTTGGACTGAGGGGAACTGGTGTTTGCTTGTTTTGTCTGAACTATATGCTTTTTCCTTTTATTCCTAAAGCACAATTTTTACATGAAGTAATCTTTTAGTTTGCACTAGCATTCTTAAACTACACAACATTTTGGTCTAATTATCAAAATTATGCATGATGATCACGACATAGTTTAGTTTAATGGTTGCACACAACTTTAATTAACCTTTTCCAAATAAAACTGTTTGGATAAAGTTTTGAACATAATTTCAATCTTATTTTGATGTGTTGTGACAGTTTTTACACTTGTGAACTTAAAGATAAATCAAGACTTAGTGATTCATGTATCAAAGGTCAAGAAACCTTTATATTGGGATGTTTTCACAGCTGGAAAATTTCAAATCACTGCTGAAAATTGACTCAGGCTTGGCATTTCTGTAGTGAAAAGGTCATGTGGAGCTTGTTCTTTGAAAGATGTCCTTTTCTCTCTCACTTCTCAGAGAGAGCATGCAGACCGTGTCCTGCTGGCTGGACGCCTCAGGGAGAGAAGTGTTTCCTGTTCAGTCGGGACAGAGCTGACTGGATCAGCAGCCAGTACCGCTGCATGGCACTGGGGGGCGCTGTGGCCACAGTCAGGACAGAGGACGAGCAGGTGAACGCACACAAACATGCACACTCTGCCCTTTTAGAGATTAATTTATTCATTAACCACATTCTGATTTATATTTATTACATATACTCACATGCTGATATTCCACCACTTCACACACAAAATCACAATAAACTGCCGACTGTGAAATTTCTGCCTTCTTTTCTTAGTACTTGTGTGTCTTACATGGGACTTCTCTGATGATATACTTATGTCCAGTTGTAAACATTTGAGATGCTCTTCCTGAAATATCAGCTGTTAGGACACACGTTTTGGCATGCACAAATGCACACATACCATCAGAGGGAGAAGTTAAGAATAGATTTAAGACCTTTATGAAATATGGAGGTGTCTGCAGGAGAGGTCGCTGCCTGAGGTCATCTGAGGTTTTGTCTTTCACAGTTTTACTGTTTGTAGCACAGTTTGCTTCCTGAAATGTGTTCCAATCTGAGATGTAAGTGAAAGCCACACTACATCTGAAGAAAAGAAGGAAATTTGAAGACTTAACTTGGCAAAGTAGTGACATTTTATGACATTTTTCTCAGGTGTTTCTGTGGACGAACACCCAGAGACTGAGCCAGGGAGACTCCTATTGGCTTGGGCTGAGGAGCAGTGGAGCTGACGGGGGCTGGCATTGGAGTGACGGCTCCGCGCTGGAGAAAGGACCGCAGTGAGTAATGACGGGCAGTAAGAGGAGGTGGAGGGTTAAAAAGGGATAAGTGAGGCTCCTGAGGTGACAAGCCACCACACACTGATCTCTATTTCTGAAGTTTAGTCGCATGTTGCTGGGAGAACAACTGGTGAAAACAAACCGATGCAAGGTCTCATGTGATTCTTCAATATGTCAGGGCCCCTGGCTGACATATTAAAGATACACTGCACCAAGGAGGATTTTAAAATAAATCTGTTACAGTGTTCAAATATAAAATGTCAAAAAAATGTGTAAATACATTTGAGTTAATGGATTTTAACACAACACTTACACCTTTATGGCATTTTGGTTTAATGTGCTTCCAAACAAAAGCCATCACATCATTACACATGAATGTTCATGTTTTAATAGAAGAAGATTTAAAATACATCTTGGGCTTCTGTTTCAGTTTTATGATGCGTTTTCATATGGAGGAGTAATGTTTGGCACAATAAAAGATTAAGGATGTGGAGGGGGGGGTTTGTTCCTCATCATCTCTGCAGGTTTTGGGAGCATCAACCTGATAAAACAGTCGACAGCCGGGAGCTGTGTGGTCGACTCACCCCAGGAGACGACTACAGGAGGAGCTGGTTCACCTCCAGATGCTCCAGCTCGCTGAGGAGCATCTGTGAGAGGAGACAAGCTGCTCTGCAGTGAGAGGAAAGGAAATTAAAGGAAACTAAATTAAGGTTGGCAAAACAAACAATTAGTGGAGAAAATGCCAAGTGTATGAGTCATAAAAGCCTGCACTGCTTTTAATTTAACTGTAGAAATAAATTTACTGACTAAAATTTATTCATTTCATGATTTGTTTGATGTTTTCTAGCTCCGCCAACTCTCATTCAACACTCCACTTCTTACTGTTTAATCAATCCCTGAGCTAATTTGCACACAGCAGAAATGTTCTTTGCAATACGGATGAACTGAGCAAAATGGGTTTTTAAAATATGCTTATACAGAATGTGAGCTCAATGCTACTGACACTATGCTAACATACAGTACAGTAACGCACAAACACAATACTAACCTGATAATATAATAATCAGGTAATATTTACCAGATACAGCATCTTAGTTTAGTGTGGTTGCATGCTAACATGTGCAAATTAACAAAGTACAGCTGAAGTTAATGAAAATGACATTAGTGTTGCAGGTATTTTCTCCTACTGGACAAACTGAGCAGATGGTGGGGGTGAAGTGAACAGCCAGGAAGTCTGAAAAGTTATTACAATGTATATAGGCAGAATTCCTCATAAGGGGAACATGAGCATGTGCATCATTTGATGGCACTCCATCCAATAGTTGTCAAGATATTTCACTCAAACCCACAAATGTTGACCTCGGTGATGAGAGAGGGGAAGTCAGGGAATCACCGAAGTCATTAGGATTCAGCTTCTGGGTCCCATGAATGTCCGTACTTTGTGCCAATCCAGTCTGTCAAGTAGGATAGGGGAACACTTTGACCTCTAGGAGGCAACCTAGAAACATTTCACGGCATCTATCCAGCAGCTGTAGAGAGATTTAAGTGGACCGTGCATAGTCATGCACAACTTTTTTTCCAAGATCAAGACTAAACTTTAACCCTAAACATTTAACCAGATGTGATGACAGGAAAGGGCTAGTGCGTATTTAATGTTAATGTCCTTCACTGCCTCATTCGTGGCTGTTTTTGCTCTGTACGTGCACCTTCCTCGTGTGTCCAGCAGGTGGCGGTGTTACTCGTCAAATCAAACACCATTAGATGTGAGTAGCTGCCATTACCTGACTTTCAGAAGCAAAATATAACCACGTTTAAAGTGCATGTATTCACGTAGAGTTTCTTTGCAAAATGTCTTATAAAAATATATCAAATAAAGTTGAAACTGTTACAAATTAGTATTAATAAATGGTTGCAGTTTATTATGTCTTATATACAGTAGCTGCATATAAGGATTGGATTATAGTTTACATGTATTCTTGAATATTCTTCTTTTGAACCATAAAGCGCAAGGTGTCTCACCCTCCTGCTCCCAGCACAAGTGACACAGGTCAGTCAAGTTATCTACAAACACAATAGCCAATAGTAATTCAGGTTAATAATGATGAGCAGTAAACAAAATGTTCATTAGACAAACCTGCTGTTGTCAATATTTCCAAGCAAGGTTGGAGATAATAGTAAGGCAAAGGTCAGAGTTACTTTTAACCCGTTATGTGATTGCTTGAGTTAAGTATATTGTAATTCATGTCACAGTTTCCATATTGTTAAAACAGTATTTGATTTAGGGGTTAGTGTGTTCACTTAATTTGATCACCAGAGAATAAGATGGGAGGTGGTGTGGCCTTGTACATAGATAAGAACTTTTGTTATAAGAATGTAGACAAAATGTCTATGGTAGTAGATAATTTACTGGAATGTGTGACTGTTGAACTACTTTTGGAAAAAAAGAAGAATGTTATAATAAGCTGTATCTACAGAGCACCTGGAGCCAGCATAGAAAAATTTAATGACTGGATGGAAGAAAATTACTCATCAATAAGTCATAAATTAATGTTCATATGTGGTGACTTTAATATAGATTTGTTGAATCCTAACAAGCACACAGGAACTGAGGAGTTTATTAACACACTATATAGATGCAGTTTATACCCAACAATTACAAAACCAAGTAGATTAACAACCCAGCATGTAACACTAATAGATAATATATTTACTAATGACAAAATGACAAGTTTACTTATAAATGATATCAGTGATCATTTACCAGTATTTTTGGTTTATGACTGCCATGTTAGAAAGGAAAGGCCAAAAACAAACCTTTTTTATAGGAGGGTGATGAACGAATATGCTGTAAGGAGGCTAAAAGAGGATTTT